ACACACACACACACATACACACAAAGGGGCCAGGAATCCAGCTGAGGGACATAGACATAGACACACACAGAGAGGCACACACACAGGCACACACACACACACACACACACACACACACACACACACACACAAAGGGACCAGGAATTCAGCTGAGAAACATAGACACAGACACACAGACATACACACACACAGAGACACACAGACACCCACACACGGCCAGGAATCTAGCTGAGAAACATAGACGCAGACACACAGACACACAGACACCCACCCACCCACACACATGGCCAGGAATCCAGCTGAGAGGCCGGTTGCCCACAGAGGTCAACACTGAAGCTCCTGGTGTTTGCTGAGGTCCCTGCATCACTGGGCACACGTACAGGCAGATGTATGGAAACACCTGCCAAGAGCTGAGGCAGAGTGAGAGGATTTCAGAGACGCCTCCTGGAGGCAAAGGGAGCTGAGCTGGGCTCTCAGCAAACCTCCCCCACGTCTACACTCAAGTTCTGATCAGGTGCCCATGAGAGAGAACCCAGAGGGGACAATGGAAATAAATGTCTGTCACTGTCACCAGCCCTATTGATTGATGTAGGCTGCAGTGCCAAGTAAGCAAACAGTGTCCGGGAGCCTCCCCAGATGGCTTTCGGAACTCCCCCCAGGGAGAGCCCCCCACCAGCTCTGTCCTGTTCCTCTGGTGGCCTGTGGCTCCTTCCTCCTGGACAGGGGCCCAAGAGACTCCAGGAGCATATAAGGGGAAGGGAAGGAGGTCCAAGTACAAGGCACCCAGAGAGAATTCTCCCAGCCAGGTAAGGTACGATATCTCCCAGGGGTGGGCACGGCGAAGTCCAGCTGCCTCCCTGTCTAGGAGTTGAGTAACCTTTGCTCTTTCCCTCAGAGCTTCAGATGTTTCCGCTGGAGGCCATGCTGTCCTTGCTGGTCCTTGCCCTCCTGGGGACCCCCGCCTTTTCGGCAGGAAGTAAGTCAGGTCTGGAGTCTGCTCCTCTCCCTGGTGGCCACCTCATTGTTCTCAACCCAGGAGACATGGGGACTCTTCCCAGCCTTTGCCACAGACTCCATATTGTCATGGGACTCTCCTTCTCTGCTTCAAGGGTGGGAAGACAGGCTGTCCACATGGCTGACGGGCTCTCTCTTTCCTGGGTTTTTGTCCACACAGCTTACTACGGTAAAAGAGTTGGCACACATTTCTGCACTACAGCACCCGAAGGAAAAAACTTTACAGGAATTCGGGCATATTTTAAAGGTCGTGCGATTGCCGGGTAAGTAGGCTCAGGGTCACAGCCCCTACCGCTGTTTCCCAGTTCTTTTCATGGTTTCAGGAACCCACGTAGATGGTCCACTTAGAGTGGCTTCCCACAGAATCCCCATCTGGCTTCCAGGGGCTTGTTAAGGCCATTTGATTTTCAGAGTCACGGAGCCACCAGCCAAACCTTTGGCTTGTCCCTGTCCCCTTGTCACCTCTCCCGCACACAGGCCTGTTCCTACTGAATCCTGCTGTTGCCTCCTGGGTTGATCAAAGATGGCTGGAGATACTTCTCCCTACTCAAGTCTACCACAAAGGCCCCTCAGTCCCCACACTTGAGAGCAAAATCTAATCTGTCAGGTTAGAGTCTTAGCGGTGAGGGTCAGAGTGGATCTCTGACTAGATATTAGTCATAAGATATGTTGGAAGCAGAAAACCCAAAGTCAGTCCTTTAAGAATGGGGGCTTGAGGCCTGGGGTGGGTTTCTGTGCTGTGCTCAGAGGACACCAGACACATGAGGAATGGAGTGGGGAAGAGCCAGAAAGATTGAAGACAGTGTGCAAACTTTGCCACACTCAGAGACTAGTAGGTCTCAAGAAGCCAAAAGAGAGTGGGGGGGAGGGTGCCAGGGATCCAGGAAGGCTGGTCTTGTGTGTGGATGATTATTCAAAGCTTTTCTATTTTCCTAGTATTCAGATGAAATTTGGAGATGACTGGGGACAAATATATGGCTACGAGACTAGAGATAACCAGGAATCCACACTGACTGAGGGTGAAAACATCATCAGCGTCTTCGGCAGATTCAATCTCTATTTCAATCAACTTGGCTTTTTAACTGACAGGCCACGAAATGTTTTATTAGGGACCTACCCTAATATTCAGGAGTTCTTTGAGGATGCTGACAAACCCAACCATACATTCAGGGGCTTTTGTGGCTTTTATGTGGTGGGTGGCTTCAAGGCCTTCAGTATTCGTTGGGGGACGGTAAATGGTACATGCTCAACCTAAGGTGCATGGTGACATGGTCTGTGCCAGGTACTTCCAAACCCAACAGCTAATAAATACAGCATCTGCATGAACGGTGCGTCCAAGTGTGATCCTTGGGTCTGAGAGGATTCTGTGAGCAGAACTGAAGGGGGGAGGTGGTCTGGCCAGGATTTGGGGCCTACAGAGAGCCTAAGCTCTGAGCCTGAGGGCTCAGCTCAAGGACCACCACTGTGCAGGATGTTCAGCACCAGCGGCTCTCCCAGCTGTCAGCTGCTGGCTCTGCAGTGTGCCAGGCTTCTCTGGCTGGCCAAGGGGCCTCAGGGAGGCCGTTAAACATTTGCCAACCGCATGTTCTCACCACACTCTTCTTGGCACTAAGGGATAAAAAAAAAAGCAGGGGGAGGTTGGTGGAGTTGGGGAGATGGCTCAGTGGGTAAAGTGCTCTCTGTTCAAGAATGAAAACCTGAGTTTGGGTCCCTAGCACCTACACAAAATTGCAAGTCTGAAACCACACATTGGGAGAGGTAGGGGGTGGGGGAGGAAATGGAGGTGGGGATGGAGACAGGCTGACCCTCAGTGTTCACTGGTCAGCTGGTCTAGCCAAATATGCAAGCTCTGGCTTAGGAAAGAGATGTGGCCTTTCACAATAAGTAATAGAGGAAGGCAGTCAAGGTAAATCCCTGGCCTCCACATGCATGTGCATATAGGTAAATGTGTTCATTTCCTCATACTCAGGCACACACACAAACATATACACCACATACAAACATACACATAGATACCCAGACACACACACACACACATACACACAAAGGGGCCAGGAATCCAGCTGAGGGACATAGACATAGACACACACAGAGAGGCACACACACAGGCACACACACA